TTTATAACTTGCAATTGTGTGTTATAAAGTCAGAATTGCGAGATATGAACTCACAATTACCATGTTTTATTTTTTATTTAGTGGCGGAAACAGGCTTCCATACATTTTATATATAAAATAAAATTTTAGTGTTATATTTTGTTTTTATATTAGAAAAATAAAGCTCTCTCTCTATATACATTTATTTATACATAATATTATTTATGTGATTATTATTTATATGTATTTATTGTTTATTTGTCATTTTTACTTTTTAAAAAATATATAATTTCAGTATGTATGTTGCTGTCACAGAAATAACAATACACATTCTCTTTCTCTCTCCACAGAGAAGAAAGAAGTGACCCAGAGTCTGGAAAACTACACGTCAAAGTGTCCGGGTGGAATGGAGGTGATCAGCCTCCCTGACGGACTCAAACTTCCTCCTGTTCCCTTCACCAAACTGCCCATCATCAGGTGAGAGAGCCTTTTGTTTTCCCCCTGACGTCCTTGTACCAAACACAGTCATAATTTAATTTTGTACAACCATTCTAGTCCTACTCTGATCTAAAAAGGCAGATTTTTGCTTCTGCCTCTTTAAATATTTCATATGTGAATGAGATGATTTGCATATGTGGGAGGTAGGCATGGGACGGTATGAGATTTTAACGGTATGATAACCTTAACAAAAATAGCACGGTTTCACGGTATCACGGTATTGTCGTTACAGCTCTAAAATGTGTTATTTTTAAATGACTGGGTAAAAAAAAAAAATCAGCTGAACACAATATATTTTGATTTTGAGCAACATATAGAATATTAGGAACGGTAGAATTTGTTTATTTTTTCTTTGATTTGTTTCCTAAAAAGAACGGTAGAGTTTATTTTTTCTTTGATTTGTTTCCTAAAAAGAAGAAAAATAAAGACTGACATCTTTATTTAACCTAAATCTGTAATTACAGTTATTTAATTTTAGTTATATAATTCATATACAGTATCTCACAGAAGTGAGTACACCCCTCTCATTTTTTTAAATATTTTTTAATATATCTTTTCATGTGAAAACACTGAAGAAATGACACTTTGCTACAATGTAAAGTATTGAGTGTACAGCTTGTATAGCAGTGTAAATTTGCTGTCCCCTCAAAATAACTCAACACACAGCCATTAATGTCTAAACCGCTGGCCACAAAAGTGAGTACACCCCTAAGGTGAACGGGCGTTTACAGACTTCATATTTTCACATAAATTACATTTTGGAAAATTATTGCATTGCAACGCAGTTTGTGCAAGTCCAGAACCGAGACGAGCTGCAATAAGACAAAAAACGGCCGGTTGCCGATCGCGTAAGTTCCAGGGGAAGCCATCCTACACACACGTGACTGACCGCTCGCTCGCACCAACAGGAGTGAGGGTCGTGTTACTCTCTACACTGCCCTCAACCTGAGGGATTCTTACACTTTTAGTCTTTGAGGAGACATGAAAAACAGCGCATACTGCAGGAACGGTATAACGGAAAATATTAGTGGTTTTGAAACCGTGAAATTTTCAAATCACGGTATACCTTGAAACCGGTAATCGGCGCATGCCTAGTGGGAGGTCATATGTTAATGAGCTCATGGTTGTGGCTTTATGCAGCTTAGCTTCAGTAAATGGTTTTTAGTGTTATTGTACATCAAACATTCTTCAGACTATTTCAAAATATGTCAGTTTTCCATAAAAACAAAATGTTTTATTGTTTATTTGAACACAATTATCTCAATGTCCACTCAGAGGCTTTTGATGGTGTATTTCCACAGCTCAGAGTGTCTGAAACTCTAGCTTTGGTTTAAAACATCTTTGAAGTTTGTTGGCCTGTGAACCATAAGAAAGCTGTATGAAAATTAAATATGCAGCTTTCATTTGTTTTATTATTCCCAAATTAAACACTTTAATGGGAAGCGCAAACTTCACTTATCCTTTCATCTGTCCCAAGGAAGTTGCTGATATTCTTTTTGCGTAGGAAAGAAAGGCCTATAAATGTGTTTAACAGATGTATTTCATAATCCCACCAGTGGCTAAAGCTCAACATGTTCGCTTGATTGAAGTCTCCATTTCTCTAAGTGCTCCTCTCCGAAGAGCTTGTTTTTTTTATTTTTGAGTTGTTCAAATGCCTTAATTTATTCTTAAAGGGATATTTAATTCTAAAACTTCAGACAAGGAGTTTTTCTCCTGATAGTTATCTCCCTCTTCACATGTCATTAACATGCAGTATCTTGCTCGCTGCCTGCTGCCAGAGTTTACACAGAGGGCGAATTTTAGGCGTTTCTTTAAAGGGGTCATATGATGCGATTTCAATTTTTCCTTTCTCTTTGGAGTGTTACAAGCTCTTGGTGCATAAAGAAGATCTGTAAAGTTGCAAAGACTAAAGTCTCAAATCCAAAGAGATATTCTTTATAAAAGTTAACAAATAATGTTCTTTTTAGCAGCATCATATGACCCCTTTAAAAAGTTCCATAATGAAATCTTGCCGTTTTGTGAGAGACGTCGTTGTCTTATAGGAAAGACTAAATGTCAGTGTTAAACTACCCTGATTGCTGTTCAGAGATGTTGTTGCTCTGGCAACAGTGTTATGAGACATTTAAGCTCTAAAGCCGAGAGGTTCGTTGTTCAGAATCAAGTGAAAGATCAGAGTGATTCTTTTTTTTTTTTTTTTTGACTCCTCGTGTCCTTTTCTATGAATATCTGAGAACAGGAAGGGTAGAAACAGAACTGAGGAGTGTTGAAAGCTGGTCAACGCGTGAGAGCTTGATTTAGAAACTCAGAAAGAACACCGACTTATGCCAGTCTATTTTTTTTTTTAGAAATCACAGTCTTGGTTTTTAATATTCTCTCTTTCTTGCTTCTTATAAATAGCTTATGTTATATAAAGTGGTTGCTGGGGTGAAGTAGTTGGTTGATAGGGTGTTTGGGGTGGTTGCTAGGATGTTGTGGGTGGTTGCAGGGTTTTTTGTCATGTTGCTTGTGTTTTGGGTGGTGTTGAGGCTGTTTCTGGAGGTTTGGTGTGGTTTTCTAGGGTATGAGTGGTTGTTAGCATTTGTGGCGGTTGCTAAGGTTTTGGGGTGGTTGCTGGAGGTTTGGTGTGGTTTTCTAGGATTTGAGGTCTTTGCTAGGATGACTGGAGTTGTTGTTAGGTGGTTGCGGGTGGTTGTTAGCATTTGTGGTGGTTGCTAAGGTTTTGGGGTGGTTGCTGGAGGTTTGGTGTGGTTTTCTAGGATTTGAGGTCTTTGCTAGGATGACTGGAGTTGTTGTTAGGTGGTTGCGGGTGGTTGTTAGCATTTGTGGTGGTTGCTAGGGTTTTGGGGTGGTTGCTGGAGGTTTGGTGTAGTTTTCTAGATTTTGAGGTCTTTGCTAGGATGACTGGAGTTGTTGTTAGGTGGTTGCGGGTGGTTGTTAGAATTTGTGGTGGTTGCTAGGGTTTTGGGGTGGTTGCTGGAGGTTTGGTGTGGTTTTCTAGATTTTGAGGTCTTTGCTAGGATGACTGGAGTTGTTGTTAGGTGGTTGTTAGCATTTATGTTGTTTGTAGGGTTTTTTGAGTGGTTTCTATGGTCTTTAGGGTGGTTGCTTAGGTGTTTGGTTGCTAAAGGTTTGGGGTGGTTTTCTAGGGTCTGAGGTGGTTGCTAGGGTGTCTGGAATGATTGTTAGGTGGTTGCGGGTGGTTGTAAGCATTTGGGGTTGTTGCTAGGGTGTTGTGAGTGGTTACTAGGGTAATTACTTAGGTGTTTGGGGTGGTTGCCAAGGTGTTTATGTAGTTGTTAGGGTTTGGGGTTGTAGCTAGGGAGTTTGGGGTGGTTTTCTTGGATTTGAGGTGGTTGCTAGGGTGTCTGGAGTGGTCGTTAGGTGGTTGCGGGTAGTTGTTAGCATTTCGGGTTGTTGCTATGATGTTTTTAATGGTTTCTAGAGTTTTTAGGGTGGTTTCTAGGGTTTGGGTAGGGTTTTTGGCTTGTTGCTAAAGTGTTTTGGGTGGTGTTGAGGCTGTTGTGTGTGGAGGTTTGGTGTGGTTTTCTAGGGTATGGGGTGGTTGCGTTGGTGTTTAGGGTGGTTGCTAAGGTGCTTGGGTAGTTGGCAGGGTTTTGGTGTGGTTTCTTGGGTTTTGGAGTGGTTACTAGGTGGTGTTGTGGGTGGTAGGTTACTGATTTCAGTCCAGTCAAATTAGACTTTTTTTTCTATTCTGATCAGTAGATATAGCTTCAGTATAAGTCTGTGGAATTTCTTTTTAGTCCATTTTATCGTCCATCAGGTGAAAGTTGTAAGTCTGATCACATAGACTACCAGCACACCTCTCACTTGATTTGAGGAATCATTCATGTCCAATTGCACAAGCACTGTGGGAAGAGTTCTGTGCCGAAGTTTAATACTTGGGGGGTTAAACTTTCCAGCATTTAACCGGATAGTTCATCCAAAAATAAACATTCTATCATCTTGTCCTTCCAAAATATCTTCTTTTCGGTTCTGCTAAAGAAAGTAAAAAAGTTTGAAATGTAAATCATTACAGAATTTTCATTTTTTGGTTGAACTATCCCTTCAAATATGGGTGATAGTAGTGCTTACTTAGCAAATGACTATTGTCCGCATGAGCACTATTGCTGAATATTTCGGAGCTTGTGTTGTAATTGTTAGAGCAGGGCTCTGATGATGTCAGATTTTTTTTTAAGCTTTAACTTTGTAGATGACATCCAGATTGTTTTAGTTTTGCAGATGCAGGATGTGGTTGCTAGGGTGTCGTGGGTTGTTGTTAGGGTGTTTTGGGCTGTTATTACAAACTTAAATGTTGTGAAATCTAATTTTACATCCAAACGGTTGTTAATCTACACTGAATGGACACTTAAACACCAGAGTGTAGTTATAAACTGTGTAATTTTGGAATCCTTATAAATGCTGTGTACAACATGCATCAGACCCGATCAAACAGCAGTTAAAGGGGTCATATGATGCTGCTAAAAAGAACATTATTTTGTGTATTTGGTGTAATGAAATGTGTTTATGCGGTTTAAGGTTAAAAAAACACATTATTTTCCACATACTGTACATTATTGTTTCTCCTTTATGCCCCGCCTTTCTGAAACGCGTCGATTTTTACAAAACTAATCGGTCTGAAAAGCGAGGTGTGCTCTGATTAACCAACTATCCAGTGCGTTGTGATTGGCCGAAGCAGATATCGTCCTCTTTTGGAAGACCAAACAAAGTAGTTTCACTTTCACAACGAAACAGCTTCACACACCGTGGCCTTGAGTGAGCAGAGGCCGGAGGCCTAGAGTGAGCCGCGGCCTAGAGTGAGTGGAGGCCGGCTTGAGTGAGCAGAGGTGGCAGGCTTGAGAACGGCGCGGCCGGTGGATTCGACAAAGGAGCATCCGGCGGGCTTGCGGCAACCACATGTGACGACCCCGGGCTGGACTCCGCTTCGTCCACGGTGAAAGCCGATCCGGCGATCCACAGCGCGAAGTTGATGTGTTGACTCTTAACTTTTATAAAGAATATCTCTTTGGATTTGAGACTTTAGTCTTTGCAACTTTACTTGCAAAAAAATGGAAAAAATTTATAACATATGACCCCTTTAAGTAATTCATAATTTTATGTTGTTTCATAAATTTTACAATACCGTTCAAAATTTTGGGGTCAATAATATTTATTTAATACTTTTATTCAGGATGCATTCAACTGATTAGCAAGTGTCATTCATAATTTTACAAAATATGTTTATTTCAAATATATGCTGTTCTTTTGAATTTTCTCTTCGTCAAAGCATCCTAAAAGAAGTATATCATAGTTTTCATAAAAATATGAAGCATCTCAACTCTGTCAACAATGATAATAATAAATGTTGCCTGAGCAGCAAATCAGCATATTAGAATGATTTCTGAAGGATCATGTGACACCGAAGAGCTTACTCAATATGTGAAACAGGCCTAACTCTCTCTGTTTTTCGCTTTATTCTTTAGATCTGTGTCTCTGTTAAACCTGCCGGTGAGTCTTCGTCCTCATAAGGTGAAAGGCCTTCTGGGACAGGGCATGTCCAGCGCCAGCCCATTCATCTACTCTCCAATCACAATGCACAGCAGAGGAGACGAGCGCTCGAAGAAGATCGGTGAGTTGTTTTGTTTTTCAGATCTCTCTTAAACTTCCTCTGTGTGAGTTATTGTTTTCTCTGAGACTTTAATTATGGCAGGTGCTGTCATTAAGTTGTCTCTTTCCCTGTTGGCAGTCGGAGGCGGCTGGAAGGAGTTGAAGTGTTTTCTGGATCTCTTAAGCAGCATCACACGGCACAGGCTCTATTATTTATGGACTTATTAAGGCAAATAGCAGAACACATTGCCACATTAAAAATACTATGCCAGTGTAGTTGTTTAAAAATTCAAACCATGGTGACTAGCTGGTACTGTGACCGTATTACAAGCTAAAACTGTGGTGCTTTGATACAGTATATACCATAGTATTTAGTATCATAGTACTCAAATGAATGTACGATGAAATATACCATGGTATATAAATATCATAATCAAACAGCATCATGATATACATCAAAGAGTCGTGGTAGAGTGGTGGTAATACTGTGGTACTTGCGTTGTTTTGATTATATTCATATACCATGGGATTTACATAGTACTTCATAATTCTTTGATACAGTGGGTACGGAAAGTATTCAGACCCCCTTAAATTTTTCACTCTTTGTTATATTGCAGCCATTTGCTAAAATCATTTAAGTTAATTTTTTTTCCTCATTAATGTACACACAGCACCCCATATTGACAGAAAAACACAGAATTGTTGACATTTTTGCAAATTTATTAAAAAAGAAAAACTGAAAAATGCTCAGTATTTAGTAGAAGCACCCATTTGATCTAATACAGCCATGAGTCTTTTTGATGCAACAAGTTTTTCACACCTGGAATTGGGGATCCTCTGCCATTCCTCCTTGCAGATCCTCTCCAGTTCTGTCAGGTGGGATGGTAAACGTTGGTGGACAGCCATTTTTAGGTCTCTCCAGAGATGCTCAATTGGGTTTAAGTCAGGGCTCTGGCCGGGCCATTCAAGAACAGTCACAGAGTTGTTGAGAAGCCACTCCTTCGTTATTTTAGCTGTGTGCTTAGGGTCATTGTCTTGTTGGAAGGTAAACCTTCAGCCCAGTCTGAGGTCCTGAGCACTCTGGAGAAGGTTTTCGCCCAGGATATCCCTGTACTTGGCCGCATTGGTCTGAATACTTTCCGTACCCACTGTATATAAACTGGCTGAAATGTTTTGAAATCACTTATACCCTACCTGATCAAAAAAATCCAGTCTTTCACTCTGCCTGTGTCAATTTGAGTCTTGCTAAAGATTTAAATCCTTGCTGCCAAGATGCTTCTCTGTCGGTCACGGATTATGGAAAGTGAAACTTAAATCTATAGGGGTGGTTGGATTTATTCACGCTCATTAAAAATATTTATTAAAAGCTTCTTTCTTTTCAGATTCTTATTTACAGCATTAAATAGGCTGTATATTAACTTATTGGGAGACAACCGTTAGTTCTATGTGAAATCAGACATTGAGCACCCCCATATAACCAAATGGCATGATCATAACACCTAAGCGAATATTCGACTGTGCGATTGGTAGTCGAATCAGGCTCCTACTATCGAAGCATTGAATCTTCGACTATTCGGGGTCACCCCTAATATAAATATATAATCAATCACAGTTTCATATCATATTTACATGGTACTCCAAGCATCTTCTAGTAGTTTATAGTAGTTGTTTTTGGTACCGGTTTGTAAGTGTGGTACTTTAAGGTACTTCAAGGAATGCCATGAAATACTGTGGTATTTGAATATAATTATCATACCGTGCCATGGTGTATATCAAAGCATCATAGTACAGTGCTGGAATTACTATAGTACTTTTGATATTTAGGTTTTATAATATTCCTATACCTTGTGATTTTCATGTAGTACCTGTGATAGTTTGATATACATCATAGTGTTTAAATGGTATTTGCAATGGTACTCCAGTAATTTCATGGTACTTTTTGCTGCTTGTTTTTAGTTGTGCTACTCTGAGGTACTTCAACAAATACAATGATGATACCATGGTATTTGAATATTATAACTGGATATATCAAAATTACGTGGTACAGCAAGTTTATCAGATGGTAATACTGTGGTTCTTTGAGAAATACCATAGTACAGTTCGATTATTGTATTTATATTCTATGGTATTCTTTGAAGTACCAACAAAATACTATATAGGTTTTGGCATTGCCATCCAGAAAACGTGGTTTTTACTTCTTGATACTTTTTTGAAAACTTTCCTATCAGCTCTGATGTCAAAGATATATCACTCTAATAATCATTCACTCAGTCTTCATGTCAGTAAAATGTCTATTTATAGTTCAAGCTCCTCCAGATTCATATTAAATTCATGGACTGTATCTAATCTTTCACTCTGGGCGTAACTTTCTCGAGTGCTATTGTTTTGTTGTGGATTTTTTGGGTGTATTTTTGGATCTTAGGGGCCCTGAGGAACTGGCAGGAGTCTTATGAAGACAGATGGCTGTTCAGTGTGAGGTTGCCCCGACTTTTCAAACAAATCATGTTGTATAAGAGTCAGATGGCGGTTTCCAGCCTGTCTTATTTAATTCGGCCAAAACCCACCAACGTCTGCTGCGAGTGCCCGTTTTTATTTATTTTTTTCATGTGCTATCCCATGTCCACTTGGATACTCCCAATGGTCCCGATTTCACTCTCAATTACGTCGGAGTGGTTAGTCATCTGCTTCCGTCACGGGTCGTGATTAGTCACAGGTGGGTGGGGAGAATCGACACAGGTGGGCACCTTCCTGAAGACTTCGTCTTTCTGCTGTTGAAGCGAGGTTTAGAGTTGCCTCAATTTCCGGTTGATTACACAAGCTCCTAGACGTCAAGAGATAGTTTTCCAAAGAGGGATGGAGGGAGCAAGAGAATGAAAGGACAAGGGAATTCACATTCAAAACAATCATTCTGGTCGTTTACAATTGGATCATTTCCAACCAGGGCTAAATTAGTGCCACGTGCTTCCTCTTTCAAGTGCGGCTTCATTGAAATGCCACTTGGACTTGTTCGGCTTTGGCTTAAATGAAACTAGTCAGATCCTGCTTTATTTTCTTTTAAAAAATGTTGACATATTTGCCTTTTTAGTGGCTTTTGCAAGTAAAGCAGCATTGTTTTTTATTGTTTATGCTTATTGTTAGCGCACTGTAAAACACTAAAACAATTTTTCGAAATTGTAAGTAAAACAGATCACTGATGTACAAGAAAATACCATTTCATTTTTTATACTTCAAAAATCATTAACATTAGATGTGACTTAGCTCCCTTTCTGTTTTCAGTGGCGATGCTCTGCAAATGTGAATGACTCTTATGAGCTGTTTCTTTAATGATCCGTTCAGAAAGATTCTCAAGATATCAGTTTGAATCAGTCTGATGAACGCTTTACTGAATGAACTCACTGAATCAATGTGACTCACTCACTCCAAGTTTTTATTGTGTTCCGTGATGAACGTATCGAAATGAAGCATGTTTTGTGTACGTAAATGGATTCATTCACCCAAAAATAAAAATTGTCATCATTTCTTTTTTGGTCCATATAATAAAAGGATATTATAGTTTTTCAAAATATATTTCAATATAGGTCATACAGGTTTGGATCAACACAAGGGCGAGTAAATGATGACAGAATATTTATTTTTGGCTGAACTATCCCATTAAGGTTCTGAAACTTAAATTATTTTTACTTACCTTTATTTAACCAGGAAATTAAAAATTCTTGAGATTTAAAATCTCATTTGCAAGAGGGTCCTGGCCAAGATAGGCAGCACATTTAGTTACACATAAAACAAAATACATTCGTTTACATAGAAACACAAATCACTCAAAACATTTACAATCAGTTGACTCTACAATTAGATCCTTTAAAATACATTTAAAATCATTTAGTGATACCAACTCTTTTAAGCATAACTTATCTTGTAGTCGAGAGTAAATTAGTATTATTAATGGATATCGTTCTTGTGAAAATGTGTTAAAGATATGTATATGAGTGTTTATCTTTGTAATAAATACCACAGATTGGACATGTTACTCTCCAGAAAGTCTGTTTAGAGACTTTCCACGTCCGAGAGAGTGATGCCACACCTGATATCTGTGTCCAATAACCATTTATTTGCTCTCCGTTTGCACACCTGTCTAGTAATCACCAAAGGCCTTCACCTCACAGTCACTCTCATATTCCTCCAACACCGGCGGTCGTGTCTCAAATCCACGGAATCCCGTTTTCCTCGTTTAGCAATTTCAATTATTCATTCCCTTCTTGCTTAACGGCTCCCACGCACTTTGCGTATTCAAACATGGCTTGTAAACGAGCCGCATTATACAATCCTCCTTCTTGTTTGATTGGTACAAGCCCGCTTAATAATTTCCCAGAATGCCACAGGCAGGAGGGGATGTGTCACGCCTGTCTCGAGGTAAGCCGAGCACCCAAGGCTAACGTCTCGGAGTCGCACACTTTCCCTGACAGAAAAATCTTTGGGCCGATGAAAAATGTCACTTGTTTGTTGTTTTGCCGTCAAGGCTCCATTGGTTTGAATATTTTATGTGGCGATGATGCGCCACACTAAATTTGGCCAGGCTGCATGTAATGAGCACCCAGGTAAACACTCCTCCGTTTGATTTGAGAACTGAAAAGAACGTTTGCATTGATTTTGGATTGTGTGTCTGTTTCTAACCCTGTGGTGTTGATATGCAAGCTAGTTAGTGCGTGTTTGTGCCAAATCAACTAGGCTATAGATGGTGTTTTCTTTGCTGTTCTGTTGCGCTCTTATTCTTGCCAGAAAGCAGTCTGACTCACACACACACACACACACACACACACCAGATGTCTCTGGAGAGAAGACCTTTATCAAAGCGAACAGCCTCCACAAACACACACACACCGAGGCAGGGAGTGAGTGATTTAGTCGTGCATTAACTAAATCAACAAGGTATATGTGCATAATTGTATTTGATGAGACTGAAGTAGGAAATGTTTTTTGAAGCATTTGTATATAACCTAATTATTTTGAGAAGTTATATTTTGT